ACTTTTGGCATGGTCTCTTAGGATAAAATTATGATTTCTACCCATTAAAAATGTAAGAAATCCAGAATTAACTTTTGGCTCCATGATTTTTAAATACAAGAAAAATTACATGACTCTCTTGAAGAAGTCAAATTTTCTTAAATTAATATGATTATGCATAGCCTAGTCTGTCACATATAGAAAGCTCTCACTTAGGATCATATAAAAAAAGAAATTTGCATTTGTGTGTCAGCATTTTGCATATTTTCATGGTTAGATATTTTGGCCTCTAAGCTAAGTTGTAAGCTCTATCCTCTAAACAAAATAGCCTCCCTACTCTTTATATGCATTTAAATCGGACTTCATGGTTTTAAAAGCGACTTGGTAGGTTAGCGGTAGCTCTTTTTAGAAAGAGCAATAAATCTAAAGGTTGGGCTGACAATGCCCCATGTGATGTGTATTTTGTAAGTCCCTTGCGCTCTATTTCACTAATGTTCTTGATACTACCTCTCAGTAATCCTCACATTAGTTCTAGGGTCTGATGTTTTGTTGATTTCAATAACTTTATAAGTTCTCACCTTCCGGGCATTTCCTTCAACATGTGTTGTTGGAATTTGAATATTAACCCCAACATTCTAAATGAAAATGATCAACTTAAACAAAAATTAAATTCTAATAACTAAAGCCCAACATAGAATAGTTTGAATACCTCTGAGTTTTTCTTAGAATAAAGTACTACATTTCACTCCTTTAACTGTCATTCTAAGAATTCTAATCAAAGTTGATTCTCTCATCCCTTGTAATTCTTAAAGAGCAAAATCTCTTAATAACAATTTCATAAATTTTAGCTAATATTTTGTTGATTTTCAGAAGAAATGCAATCACTAGTTTAATCAAAAGTTTTATAAAAAATTAAATATTTAAGATGTAATTAATTATAGGAGCTTGCCCCTTGGAGCATCCGTACTTTAGAATATAATATCCCCGTTCAAACAAATATTGAATGAGAAAAAATCTCTGTTAAAATTAAAATTATAAATTTTGTTATTGAGTCAATAGGAAAATGATATTTTTATCTTTCGAGATAGTATATTATTTTGTATGCTGTGCTCGATCACAAAATATACAATCCGTTGAGGATGACAATATTTCTCCAACAGTAAATGACCTGAAATCTTAATATTATAAAAGTAAAATTCATATCATGTCTTATCTTTTTTTCGTATGTAATACAACCATTATATGGGACACTATCTAATTAATACCAATTAAGGTACTCCATTTTTTATTTTCTTTTTCAAAGCTATTTCAAATTTACTTTCGTGAGTATATTGCATCCCCAATTAGTATCATAATATGTATTTCATCAGTCAATATACATATGTAAGTATTTCTGCATAAATCATTTTATTTATATTTTTTATATTATTGCATATTTTTGTATAATAAGTATTATATGACTTATGATAAATAACTATTATTTAATTTACTAATTATATAATTAAAATCGCTTTTAATTTATAAAATTAGCTCTCTCTCTATCTCTCTCTATATATATTATATTATGTTATATAATATTATTACTAATCATTTTGATATATCATCATAATATAGTTATGACTATTTCCTATTAAAATCAAATTCTTTTATTATGATAATTTAAATTTATTACCTAAATTACAAATTTAATTTTAAATAAATGAATTAATGTCTTAATAAAAGGACATCTCATTTTCTAATATATACATCTAAAATTAAATATATCAATCTTCTCTTTTAGACACATTTAAGCTCTAAATACATTTTACTTTTAAATATACTTTCGATATAATTGTTGTCTTATTCCCATTATTAGTATTATTATATATATTTTTAAAGTAAAATAAAATATTATCTATGATTTGTACAATGTATATAACTATAAAATAAAATTTTTAATTAATAAAACACCTTATTCCTTCCTGTGCCACTCTTCAACTACAGTTGCCACAAGTTTATGAGTTTGACTTCGTCGCTTTGTCGCAGATGCAAAGACCTCTTCGACTTCAAATCGTGGAAATTCTTTCTCATAAGATTTTGCTAGCTTGCCCACTGTCTTTTTCTCCTTGCTGTCTACCTCTCTCAATTTAGCTCTCCTTCATCTCTCCCTCCTCCATCTCATTTTCATATGCCCAGTTCTTTGACCCATTCCTTACTTTGTCCTTCTAAATCACTATCTCTTGTGATTTAATAGCCAAAAATTTGGCCTTCGGTTCTCCTTTAGTGATGATAAGCAATGAAATCGACACAGTCAGCTCAGTCAAACAGACTGTAGTCCGTTTTACTTCTTTTCTGGTTATTACAATATAAAGCAGCCATAAGAGACGGTATAATAAAAAATTTTCATTGGCATTCATTTCTTCGTAATCATGATGAACGATAGTGTGATGCTTATATTGAATAGGTGAAAGAAAGCGGGCAAATTAGAAAGTTGGCGCATAATTATTGTGTTTTCCTCGAATGGCTGGGATTGGTAGATTAGTTATCATTTTGCAACTGAAAGGCGTATTGCAGAGAGGATGGTTGCGCCAGATTCTGATGCCACTGGTGATTTTGAGGCTGTTGCCATTAGTATTGGCTGAGATTTGAATAATGCATCTTTTGAAGCAGCATTAGTGCATGTGAAGTCTTCACGATTTTGCTTCAGCTTTAACTTTTGCATCATTCTTGTTATTAGCATTTGAGATCGTTTTGCTTCGGAGTGGTTATACCAATGGCAAAGAATAAGAGGAGATGGTTTGGTGCTTGAATGCCATGATCTAGTTAAAACGACTGCGTAATTGTCACACCCCAATTTGACCCACCCCCTAACGATGAATCTGGGGTACAACAGAGAAGAAAATTATAAACCGACTCCTTATTAACACCCATTCCAATTCACTACTTTTAGAATCAAGTAAGTAAAAAGAAATTTATTTAGACTCTCCTAACATGTCAACATATCAAACACCACATGTACTGTACCTCAATTAACATTAAATATAATTAAAGTAAATATAAAGCTCTACTAAAACTTTTAAAATTTTCTTACATACCCAAAAGTCTGTACAATTATCATTCAGATTTTTTTATATATCTTTGTACACCCAAAACATATTTACACAAAAAAGAACAGTTACCTCTTTTCCCGTCCTGTGCCCTACGGGCGCCTTTTCCTTTCCTTCAGTATAATTGCTGCTAATGCGCTAGACTCAATGAAATACACAAACAATGTATAAAAATTTGTAATAACATGATGAACAATTATTGAGAAGACTTTATAATTCTATGCTGATCATAAGAAATACAATACATTTTGACAAGTCATATGATGACTATAGGATTTTGCACTCTTTCAATTTTTCAATTCAAGGTTTTGTCCAAATTCCAACTTTTAGAATTGAAATTGTTCTCTCATTCAAGGTTGGGTCCGAATTCTCCAACTATTAGAATTGAGAGTATAGACTTACATCGTTAGGTCTTTTGCTTTTAGATGTGCGGGCCTATCCCCATATATGATTTATTTCACTTTCCCAATAGCAACATAAGCTTTGATAGACATAACTCTAGGAATAAATATATTCATACATGTAAACTGAAATAAATGCGACCATAAACATAATAAATATGAAGTGCAATTAAAGAAAACATTTAATAATTCCTAGAACATCGTTTGGGTATCTCACATCACTTGGAATTTATTCTTCTAGGTCCACTTATCTTCTCCTTTTATACACTACCTCAATTGAACTCTTCTTCATTCCATTCAAAATTCTCCCCTTATCCCTCTTTTCTCATTCTCCCTTCCTTTTTCCGAACAAATTTCAATAACCTTTAATCGGCATCAGCACTATAACAGTCATGTAGGAACACTAAATTTTTGTTTCATTTTTCCTACTGATGACTGATGTCAGCTAACCACTGTTTTCAGTTAACAACTATTTTCTGCATAGTGATTTCTGCAAAATTAAATGTAGCTAACTTTATTTTTAGCACTCATTTACTGATTTCCAGCAACTAACAATCTACAACAACCTTAGTATTCTATGTACACTTACCTTAAATGTTGCTGAATTCCTCTTCTACAGCCACCCATAGCATCAACCCAGCATTTTCCCCTTCCAGCTTTCAGCGCCAGAAACTCTCGGGTAGGGATAAGGGAATAGCTCAAGATGGCTTAAGGCAAAGGCTTCTTATACTGATTGTTTAACACATCATCCTCCACTATTAATTTAATATATAAAAACCTAAATCCACTAAGACCTCTTAGCTATTCCTAGCCGTTGATCATAGTTCTTAGAAAATCCACCCATTGCATGCTTTATTTAGTGGAATTGCACTGAGCTGAAATTTGCTACAGTAATATCAGATTTTTAACAAGTGCAATTTAATTACCAATCTCCCACTATAATGAAATTAATTAGATGCTAATTACTTACTAATGAACAAGTAATGATTTAGGCTACTAAATGAATTTAATCAAACTTATGTATATACCCTTGTATATATCCCAATATTCAAAATAAAAACAGTAGTATTTAATGAAAACAACTATGACAGTTTTTATGTTTACCTTTTTGACGAAATTTCGGGTATTATAGTAATCTTGTCATTTCACTTTCACCTTTGATGGATGCTCAATTCAATGAAGCAAGTGAATCAGTAAAACAAATTTGAACTACAACATATATGTTGCTGACTGAAGGATCATAATATGTAGCCTTTGTCTTCTTCAAATTTATGCCCTCCTCACTATAAAGCTAGCTAAATTTCTGGAGATGCTTCACTGATTTTGTTGACAGTGATTTTTTCTAAGGTTTTTTAAATTCTGGTGTAGATATGCTATACTTTTTTAGGCCAGGTTATCTTTATTCGTTTTTTCTAATCTTATTTTCTGCAACAAGCACTTCCTAGTTCTATTTTATGATTTGCAATATTGTATGTGATGAAAAGAGACAAGTACTGATTTTCATGCTTATTCCCCTTATATGTGCAACAAGTAGGTAAGGGACTTCTATATCCCTGAGAATGGCAATTGGGAAAATCCCATGGATAGAAAGATTTTCTGCATCATCAACTTGCACGAGGGTGACCTTCATGTTATTTGTTTCTTTTTCCCTAGTTGGAGTTTGGATGTTCTCTTCTTCGACTGTTGTGCCTCTAGTGATTTCTCCTCAAGAAGCTATTAAATCTGAGTCGAAAAAGCAACTTTCTCAGAGTGATTCTAGGCCATTGGAGGATCGCTCTGGCAATGCTTTCACTCAGTCTTATAATTGGGGTGAAACTAGAGCTGATAAATTTGGAGTTGCAAACTCAGAAGGCAGTAAGATAAATGTGGGCGATCAGAGAGATGGCCAGGATAATGTCATAGGAGAAAATGTTGTGTGGAATGCGAGCCATATCGAAGACAAGATCATTGGTCATAAATCCGATGATGGCTTGAACAATCAAGAGCCCAATTCAAGCGTGAATGTTAATGATAATGCAAATGGCGAAAAACAAGAAAATGATAAAAAAAAAATTAAGCCAGGGGAATATAATGATGGTTATCGAATGCACAGTGACAAGGACAATGTTCGTACCAAGGATGGAACAAAGGAAGAGGTATTTCCTAATGGTTTCCAGTTAGAACATACCCAGGTTGGGGCATGGTCAACACAAGATACCGAGTCAAGGAATGAGAAGGAACTGCAGGCGTCTTCTTCAATGGGCGAAGTTATCAAATTCAATTGGAAATTATGTAATGTTACAGCTGAAGCAGACTACATCCCTTGTCTGGATAATGACGAAGCAATAAAGAGACTGACTACTACAAAGCATTATGAACATCGAGAGAGACATTGCCCTGAGAAGTCCCCAACCTGCCTTGTGCCGCTTCCAAATGGATATAGAAGGCCAATAAAGTGGCCCAACAGCCGAGAGAAGGTATTTTTTGCTTAACTTTTTATGATTAATTTTTATAAAATCCACTGTTGGACTCAGTTTGGTTTTTCCCAAAGCAGATATGGTACCGCAATGTACCTCATACAAAACTTGTGGAGATGAAGGGCCATCAAAATTGGGTAAAAGTTTCAGGAGAGTATCTGACTTTTCCAGGTGGTGGAACTCAGTTCAAATTTGGTGCTTCTCACTATATTGACGTCATTCAGAAGGTTTACATTTAACCTCTTTGGTTTACTCTAAAGTTTCATATTCTAACAAGATGTTGAAAGTCTTTTTGTGTGTGTGTGTGTATATATATATATAGTTGCACCTTTTATAGTCTTAGTTTATTGGAATGGCTCAGCACTACTTTCAACTGTTTATGTACCCTACTCATTAAGGATCAAATCACACGTAGTTTCCAAAAAAACGGAAATACTGTTTTGAATTTATTCCAGAAAGACAGGATATAGAAAATAAGGGTTCAATTGATCGTCAACAAGCAATGGAAATGGAAGAATATAATTCTTCCAATCCACCTGCTGCCATAATCAGTCCAACCACAACCATGCCATTTACCAAATTTGAAGCCAATAGGTACATGAAATTGCATCCCAAAGCAACCTCATGGGGAAGAGAAGTTTCCATATGTTATAAGGAAAGAGACGAACCCCTTATAGACCAAGTGGTAACAACCATAATAATAATGAGACAACAATGATAGAATTATATTGGCCACAACAGAAGTCAGGGTAATGAACTGATTGACCAAAGAATTCCAAGCAAAATTTGGGCACAAGCAAAAGATTATCACGGAGATCAAATTAAAAAACACCAAGCATAAACATTCATAATCTAAGAAGTCCTGCGCGATGGTTCCGCATGATCCACGGGCAACTAGGGAAGCGTTAAACTACCTGCTACCATCAATAGGATAATCTTAAGAACCAGAAACTCCAATTAACTCATTAAAAAGTTTGAAATTGCAGCTCAATGCAGGCAATCAACTTATTTTCTGAATTGGTGCCCTGAAGGAACCATGAGGCAATAATAGTTAACGTGACCTTTTTTTTTTTTTCCAATTTTAATCCTATTTTATAAAAAAATTCTTATAATTAACGTTGACCTAGTCTTTCAGAAGTAGTTCAGATGTCAGAACAAGAATTATGATAAAAGCAAATGATACAGAATGAAGAAAGGTTCAAAGAAAGCGAAGAAATGACACCATATCTAATTCAACAGAGGAAACAAATATCCAAAGGCTAAATGTTGCACCAAAAACACCAAGGCATGTGCAAACAATGGGGGGGCCGGCAGCAGCCCGGAAAACAATAACTGTATTCCGACATGATGTCCAAACTTGCTCCAAAACGTCTCAGGATTCAAATAATTATACGACTACAATAGGAGATCTCCATGCTTATTGGGCCATTATGTTTTTTTATTATTAGTAAATTCTCTTTGGCTTGCCCCTGCCTAGAGGTTATTCATAAATTTATATTTTATTTATTTTTGATTGGTGAATATTCTGTTGTGCTCGACTCTCATTATATCATTCATTATGAGACTATCTTTAGAAATATACTGCATGACAATCCTACGTTAGTGGAAACCTGATGCATATACTGATATGTTCTCCCCAATTGTCTCTTTTGAGGAAACATCTGTCACTCTTGTTTGAATTCTTTTCTCGCGGATTCATACATTATTTCAACTAATTCGATTTATATTTTATATTTCCTTGGTTTTACATTTTGCAAACATTTTCAATTAAGGTTTGTTACTGCTCGGCTTTGTAGTCCTTCTGTGACCAGAGTTTTGGTTGAGTTATACTTTAGTTCTGAATTTGAAAATAAGGAGTGGAGTTGCTCCTCAACTTTTGAATATTTTCAAAGTGTTAAATTTAAAGGCATATCATCCTATTGTTCTTATTAGAAAATATTTGAGCATAATATTTTTGAATATTTTAAGGCTTATTCAGATCCGAGGAAATCTAATTATCAGGCGCAAGATTTAGATCTGACCTACTATTTTGGTGGCCACTGCTTTATCAGATCAGATATGCTACCAAAACATGGAACGAATTTTATCTTCTCCTTTGAAATTAGTGCTTGTTGTGCCTGCCCTTACCAGCTCCATAGAGATGGTCGCTACATCATCTACAAGCATGGCCATGCATTTCAATCCTGCTATTCCTGAAACACTTTATCTCTCTCCGATTTGCATACATAGCGATGATCATGATTCTCAATAGCCACATGATTCAAATGTAAGAAAACATAATCTTGATGCTATTGGGGAAATAATGTTTCAAATCCTATTTACCAAAAAGGGTAGGAATCCGAAAAAATCTTTCATTACTCCCCTATATTACTTGGCTTCAAGCAAGACTAGTATTCATGATCTAAAGGATTTCTAATTCTTGGCCATTATACTATCTTTATATTTTCTTATCTATTTTTTTTCTCTAACAATTTCAGTAATAACTACTGTTATACTCATCATTTTCTATTTATAATGATTTTCTTTGGAAAAAAAAAAATCCTTGCATAGGATTTATTTTTAGACTCCCCTACTATCCTCATGTTTATTTTCTTAATACAAATAGTAATTCTGTCCTACATCAAGTTAGTTTAACTTTAAAGTTTTCCAATTTTCCTCTCTTAACCACATATATTGAAAGATTATAACTTCTCACCTTTATAGCTATATAATTATGATGAGTTGAGGTAATAACTAGATTCGAGCATGGCTTCAACACTATAATATTTTTTGCAGTCATTACCTGATATAGCATGGGGAAATCAAAGCCGAGTTGTTCTGGATGTTGGTTGTGGAGTTGCAAGCTTTGGCGGGTATCAGTTTGATAAAGATGTGCTAACCATGTCTTTTGCTCCTAAAGATGAACATGAAGCACAAGTGCAATTTGCTATTGAAAGAGGAATTCCAGCAGTATTAGCAGTTATGGGCACGAAGAGGCTTCCATTCCCTGGCATGGTATTTGATGTTATTCATTGTGCTCGCTGTAGAGTGCCATGGCATATTGAAGGTATTTTGGTTTTTTGAGTTATGGACATTTTGGGTTAGTAAGTATATTTTAAGCTGCATGCTTAATAATGCATATTGTAGGTGGCATGCTTTTGTTGGAGTTGAATCGATTATTAAGGCCAGGTGGCTTCTTTGTATGGTCTGCTACTCCAGTTTACCGAATGACAGAAGAAGATGTTGGGATCTGGAAAGGTAAATCTTTAATGTTTTGGATCCTTGATTCTATACATAATAAAAATAAATTGATATACATTGATAAGTTTAATGATTTGGAGCATATTTCTGGATTTTCCATGGACTTGTTAGTGAATTTCAATCATAGCCTTGTTAAAAAAATTGGATTCTAAATTTATTTATATCTATTAAAATCACTCCTTAACTGACAGCATTTCATTATTTTGTTATTATTATTATTTTTGAGCAGTTGTTGAGCTACCTAGTGATAGGATCCACGTCAACGACCAGTCGCTTGCCTGCCAACCGACTACGTCGTTTAATTTTTTTTAAAAAACTGGCGTGTTTAAGCTAATTTAATTAACCACGGTAATTATTTTTAAAATTTGTTCTGTTTTAAATTAGTAGCCTTCTTGCTTATTTTGTAAACTACTTGATCGGTGAAGTTTCACCATGAAATCCACTTGGATGATAACTTCACATTTGACTAGCTATTGGCCTATAATTCTTATTACTGCAAAGCGTTCTGCTTTACTTACTTTTGATGTTGTCCTTGACTCCAACTTAAAGAACCCCAGTGATAAAAGGTCTGTTAATAGGAAACATTTAACCAAGTATTATTTGCAGTGTGAAAATTTGGGCTCAGATTTGGGTATTATGTCAAGAAGATGTGTGAACTAATATTTATTTGGAAACTGTACCAGCTATGTCCAAGTTGACAAAGATGATGTGTTGGAAAATGGTGAGAAAAATGAAGGATTCTGTAAACAAAGTGGGTTTAGTTATCTTTAGAAAGCCCTCAAACAATGAATGCTATGACCAAAGAGCGGTAAATACGCCTCCACTTTGCCAAGAATCTGATGATATGAATGCTTCTTGGTATGGCATTTCCTATGCAAATTTTTTATTTGAAATTGAATGATTGGTAATTGATCCTGTATATTTGGTTTATAGGAATGTTTCGTTGGTAGCATGCATGCACAGGTTACCAGGGGATCCTGTTCTACGTGGTTTTCATTGGCCAGCTAAATGGCCGTCAAGGCTTGGCAAAACACCTTATTGGCTGGGCAAGGATCAGGTTGGGATTTATGGTAAACCCGCTCCTGAAGACTTTCAAGCAGACTTTGAGCATTGGAAACGAGTTGTAAGCAATTCATACCTGAATGGAATTGGAATCAATTGGTCCAACATAAGGAATGTCATGGATATGAGATCCGTATATGGAGGGTAAGAAATCGTGACTTTTATTTGTTGACCTACTGATGTATTTTGTGGATGTAACTAGATAAAATCATTCTGGTTTTGATATTTTTCATTCATTAGATTTGTTGTGTGCAAGTGGTTTAGGAGATGTATTGATTGTCTTAACCATAAAGTGATTGTCTTATGATGCATGCAAATTTCAATTTTTTTTGAATTTTTATTGAATTTTTATTGAACTATATTGTAATTTTAATGTTATGTTTATTTTGTCCTTTTTTATTTTCTACCTATGATGGAAGGCAACTTATGATCATGTGTAGGTTGTGCTCTTGGACATGCATTTCCTTGGGTGTGCTAGTTTCTTTGGTGCCTTGGCTTTTGGGCTGATTTGGATCCTTGGTTTGGGCTTGGTTGTTTCGGGTTTTGCTGCCTAGTTGAGGAGCTGCTTTGTTCTACTTCCTATTTCAGCTCATTATTGTGAGTTGTTGCCTTTTTCAGCTCATTAAATCTGCTGTCCGGGTTCTTCGCCTCCTGTGTTTGGCCTTTCAATTTCTCTGCCTGCCCGGTTCAACAACTCCCTGGCGCCTGTCCCGAATGCTAGCCATTCCTATTTCCCACGTGACCCTTTCGGGTGCTGCTCCTGCCGTTGCCTGTTGGCCTTTTGCCTCCCCTTTTCTAATTGGTTTGGTGGGTGGCTGTTTGGGCTGTTTGGCTCCCTCTCCTCTCCTATATATAGAGGTTGATTTGTGACATTTTGGAGCTATTTTTGGTGAGTGAAGATATCTACAAACTTGAGGGTTTCTTCTTGGAAAGCTTGCGAGCTGTTTCCAATTCTCTTCTCCTCTCTTTAATTTCGTCTTGGGCTTCTTACCTACTTCTCTCCACAAGTTTCCACCCCACTTGTATTTTTTTTCTCTAGCTCTTGAAAGTGTTGTTGGCCGGTTTGGTAGCATTTGCCGGAGGAGTCTTGCGGTGGACGTTGGCCCAAAGTTGCTGTAGTGGATCGTTGGTTTTCATGTCTTTAAGCACTTATTATCTTGCATACTATTTCGATGCATGTGAGGTGACCACTAGTTGGTTGTTCTGAGGATAATTTGTTTTATTTTTATTTTAGTTTCATTTTTATCTAACTTTTGTTTGTTTTGAGGTTTGTTTGGTGTTGGTTTTCTATAAGTTGAATTGAGAAAAGTTTTACTAGCCATTGTGTTCCCCGTTTTGATTTTTCTATCTAATTATATGCATCAAGTTTGGTATCAGAGCCTAGGTTAGCATATCCTAGGTTGGTGTGTGAGTTTTTTCTTAAAACAAAATGTCTAATCAAAACAACCAAGGGGATTGGCAACAAATGATGCAACAATTGGCTGATTTATAATATCAAATAAACAATATGGCTAACACCCTTGCAAATTTGAATGACAACAATGCTAATGTCCAAAACTTTGAAAGTGAAGAAGAAATCCCTAGGAATCAAAATAGACTTCATAGGAATTGGGATTATGAGATAAAAATTGACGTTCATAACTTTGAAGGTAAATTATAACCCGATCAATTCATCGAATGGATAGAAAAATGGTCCAATTTTTCGAATGGAAAGAAATCCAGGATAATAGGAAAGTTAAGTTTGCTAGGTTAAAGTTCACTGGTCACACATTAACTTGGTGGAAAAACCTTCAAAATAATATGCTAAAATGAGGGAAGAATAAAATTCAAACTTAGGATAGGATAAAAGAAAAAATGAGGAAAAAGTTTTTGCCTTCTGATCACTCACAAACTTTATTCTAAGAATTTAATAATCTTCCTCAAGAAAACCAAACAGTTGAGGAATACACTGAAACCTTTTATAAACTTCAATTTTGAAATGATCTAGATGAATCTGAAGAACGAACTGTCACTAGATACATTAATAGGTTGAAATGGGCAATTCAAGATCAATTAAGCCTACATCACGTAATCAAACTCGACGAAGCTTATCGAATGTCCTTAAAAATTGATAAGCAACAATAGAGAATTCATAGCAAGCCACCTGAACCATTAAAGCGATGACAAACCGGTGGAATAAAAATTCAATCTTCACAACCTTCTGTTGGAACATCTAATGTGCGAACAAAAACATTTGAAACACAAACTTTAGATAAAGGAAAGGGATTGATGGGACCCAAACTAACTGTTGACCCCTATACCTCAAACCACACGATAAAGGACCCCAATTGGTGAATAAAACATTACGCGCCTTAGCGCCACATATCACTTGAAAGGCCAAATGACCTCCGACTGCCGAACGGATAGTATCGTTGTGATCAGGATACTGAACTCTGTTGGGTCGAGGCCCCTCGCAATTGAATCAGACGAGATCGATCAAAAGGGATGGTCGACACTCGAGATTAAAACGCGAGGTTGATCAAACAATGTCGGATCGACAAACAGTCTTCACCGTTGCGCCCGGAATAATGTCAACCTCTAAAAACTGCAATTTTTTGCTTGTTCAATTTGGATCGCCCATATTGGTGGCACATATCTCGAGGCAATCCCAATATAATGCAATGACGCGCATATTGCGGAAATTCACCTCCACGGAGATGACATGACGTCCGATTGCCAAACGGATGGCACCATCGCATCTGGAACGTCATCGCCATTAAGAGTCTACATCTTATTTGATTAAATTGAATCATTTGAGGTGGTGTCGTAAATATCAAAGGGCGGTTCAAATTTGAGGCGAAGGTGCGCGCTATGAAGAAAAATTAGCCTCGTCGGTGGTGAAATGACGTCCGATCGCAGAACGGATGACGTCGTTGCGTCCGGAACATCGTCAACATTAAAAGTCTACATCTTATTTGATTAAATTGGATCATTTGGGGTGGTGTCGTAAAT